TTTACTAAGATAAGCTGAAAAAAGATTAGATTCATATTTTCGAGCATTATCGGAATGTAAAGTACGTATACGACAACCATATTGAGTTTTTATTTTCTTACGAAAGGTCTCAAATATAGAGAATAATTCAGACCGAGCTTTCATAAAAAACAACCAAGTTACACGAGAATAGTTATCCACAAATGTCACAAAATAAGGATATTTATTAGATAAAATATTCTTTATTGGACCCCATACATCAGAATGTACTAACTCAAATGGACTAGACACACGATTATTGATCCTAGACTGAAATGGCACACGGTGATGTTTACTAAGTTGACAAGCTTCACAAGACAAAGACGACACATAACCAAGACTGAGAACTTGGCGCTTTAGACTCTGGAGAGAGGGATGTCTAAGATGACAATGCCATTGAAAAGGAGACAATGAGGTCTGTAGAGTCCGGGTAAGTGAATCAAAGTCAAGGTAATATAGACCACCAGCTTCATGTCCCATACCAATTTTCCTCTTCGTCTTGAGATCCTGAAAGATACAATAAGAGGGATAAAAAGTTACAAAACAATTGAGAGAACGAGTAATCTTGCTAATGGAAAGTAAACTAAAAGGAAATTGAGGAACAAATAACACAAAAGATAGGGATATATCAGGACTCAAGTGAGTAGTTCCCAGACCTAAAACTTGAGAACAAGTACCATTAGTAAGAGTAACACTATGTGTAGAAGTAACAGACTGATAAGTAGAAAAAACATCAGATGCATTAGTCATGTGATCAGAAATGCCAGAGTCTATGATCCAAGGATTGCGAGTGGAGGACAATAAACAAGTGGAAGTAGTGCTTGACTGGGCAAAAGTAGCAGTGGAGGGAGATGGAACAGTTTGCTGCTAGAACAGAAACTGAGTATACTCCTTCCGTGTAAGAGTAATTGACACGAAATCAGATGGAGCAGATTGAGGTATAGTGGCAGGAGTCAGGGTGTCATCCTGATAAGAGACCTGATTAGCAACACCCGAAGGCTTGCCATGTAAATCCCAACAATAATCAACAATTTGGCCTCCATAACCACAGTAGGAGCATGAACGAGACCCTGAACGCCCTCCACGACCTCCGGTACGGCCTCCGCGACCTCTGCGGTTACCACGGCCACCTCGAGAACTGTCACCATGGCTATTCGGGACAACAAGAACTGAATGATCAGCAGGCACACCAGACTCTGTGTTGGATGAACCGGTAGAGATGGTAGCACGCTGCAGACGGGAGAAAACCTCCAGTATAGATCGAAGACTAGAGTCGCCCAAAATCTGAGAATGAATAGACTTGTATTCAGGTTTCAAATCAACTAAAAATTGGACAATATTCAAATTCTCATGTTGTTTTTGCCAAACCGTTACATTAGTAGTAAAGGGGTGGTAGAGCTTCAAGTCCTCACACACTCCCCGAACATGAGAGTAATAGTACTCAAGACTTAGAGTACCCTGCTCTACACGAAAATACTGTTTGCATACTTTATATGCACAAGTGAAATTCCTAGTGCCAGAATACATGGTGGCCAAGTGATCCCAGATCTCTTTGGCCGTGTCCAAATAAATCAAAGTAGAACTGATACTGGGCTCAATACTATTTTATAGCAATGAAATAATCTGAGTATTTTCTTATTCCCACTTATCATACCCAGGAGTACCTTCTTTGGGTTTGGTGTCCACTAAATATTTCTTAAAACCTTTACCTCTAAGAAACACTTGAACAAAACTAGACCACAAAACATAATTGGTCCCATTGAGTTTAACAGATGTCATGAGACCATTGAGTAGAACCGTAGGAGAAATATTTGGTGATATGGATAGCATAAAATCAGCCCGACTATCATCATTTTTTTTCTTGGGTTCCATAATAATATAACAATAATAGAACTAAAGGAAAATGGAAAAACCGTGATACAAAGGCCGGAAGAACACCAAGGAGCACGGAACAGTGGATTAGGTGCCAGAACTGGACCAAACAAGGCTATTGGAGTGATGAATCAGACTGGACAAAACTGCTTAAGCACTGAACCGGACTGAACAAGGCTATTGGAGTGATGAACCGGACTGGACAAAACTGTTCAAGTACTGAGCCGGACTGAACAAGGTTGTTGGAGTGATAAACTAGACTGGACAGACTGCTGTAGCGCTGATCTGGACTAAACAATGCTGCTGGATTAACGAACCGGATTGAGTGAGCCTGTTGGAGTGCTAAACCGGACCAGAACCGCCCGCTGATCAGGTGAACCGGGGTGAACCGGTTTGAGAAGAAGCTAAACCGGTTTGAGATGGGCCGGGCTGAATTGGGTTGAATAGTTTAAACAAATGTTGGGCTTGTTTTAGGCCCAAAGTAGAAGAGGTTGTCTTCTTCGCTACAACTCTGCAAGGGTTAGAAACCCTATTTTGAACACGCAAGTGGCGCACACCACCGCCACTACTCAGGGTCGAAGAAGGCTATCACTGTGATCACGACGAACAGTAATATCTACCACTGCGATCACCACAGCCACACGACGAACACCGAACACCACACCCTATTATGAACTTTGGCAACAACGAACAATCTCATACATCGACGAACCACACATCGACGAACACCATACGTCCGATTTTATTACCTTCCACAACAGATATCAACTCAAGCACTAGCCATGGCTATGGGTCAAACAACGACCCTATGCCATGGCCATGGATGCTCCGGTGACGGAACAAGAAATAACGAGAACAAGAAAAAAAAAGAATTGATGATTTAATTGGATTAATAGCAAGACAAGAAAGATTAATTGAATTAATTGCAGAGTAATTTTAGATTTATTGCTCTGATACCATGTTAAGTTTAGAGAGATAACATAACACAATATTAGAGAAACGAAGAGTGGTCAAAAACTTAACTTAGTTCTTATACATCACTTGTATTTATAGTTAACTCACAATAATAAGAATTACACATACACTCTATTACTGTTAACAATTTACACATATTACCCTAATATTCTTAACAACATGTATACGAGTGAATATATAAAACAAGTTTTTTTCTTTGATTTCTTTTTTTTTTTTATAGTTTTTCTCTCCTAATTTGTTATGAGAAATCTAGTTGTGTAATACGTACATATATGCTTGTTCTCTACTTTTGAAAGAGAATTTATTGCTGATATAACTGGAGATTAATAGGATATTGTTGATTTCTTTCTCATGTTTGTTGTTTTGTCATGTTTTGAGGGTTATGATAGGTTTGAATGTTGGATAAGCATAGTCATCTTGAATTTGAGTTTTCAGTTGTGAATTTTTCGATTATTTTCTTTTTTGATGATAAACTTTGTTTTTTTTTTTGTGAATCTTGTTATTTATTTTTTTAGAAAATAAGCTCCGGTTAGTTTAAATTCAAATTTGAATGTGGTGATTATGAGAATCTTGGTAATTTTTTTTTCTATATTTGTTTCAAATTACATTAAATTCTTCAAAATATCTAAATAGGCCATTTGTAAATCTGTTCACAGAAGCTTTTGAACGCAATTTGGATTGTTTACCAGTGTAAATGCTAATGTCGACACCCCACTTTTAAGTTACTAGTTGTAATGAGATAATGGCCCATGCTTTATAATCATGGATAGATCCGTACTTTTTCAACCAATATGGATTGATTCCCACTTTATGGGATTGACCCCTATCGATCCCTCCAAAGTCTCTGTCAAATTTTTATGATGTGGATCGATCAACTTGCAGATTGGATCAATCCCTTCCAACCTTCTGCCAAATCTTCAATCATCTTGTGGATCGATCCTCACCAACTCCCTATAATTCTTTCTGATTTTAGCTTTCCAGATCAATCCTCAAATCCAAGGATTGATTTCTTGCCATGCACATCATCTCCATACACGTTCAACATTCCGTAATTTACGTTATTTACCTATAAAATACCAATAAACATCCAAACAAGCATAAATTACAAAATGGAACTATAATTAGCATTATTAATAAGGGATCAATGTATATTATCAATAATAATGGACCAAAATATCACACTTTTTTATGAGTAATCATAATGTGAGAATTTTAATCTTTAGAAGTATAAAATAAAATTTTTTAAATCTTTTGGATGCAAAATGTAATTCTCGCCGTTTCCTTATTGTCATGTTGTAGAACCTTTTTTTTAACTACTATGAAAATAAAATATAATTTAATTTAAAAACATATTTAAAAATTTACAGGGAAATATGTATTAATTTTGAAAGAGCGAGGGATTGTAAAATATTGGCATTTACAGAGAGGGCTCTTTTTGTTTAAACCCCCCTCTCTCCTCCATTGTGATCTTCGCTACTTTGGAATTCGTTTCTTCAATCTCATTGTTTTTGATTTAGGTAACACCTCTGATTCCAAGTATCCTTTATCTTTCCTCATTACATGTATATGAGTGAATATATAAAACAAGTTTTTTTCTTTGATTTTATTTTTTTGTAATTTTTTTGTCCTAATTTGTTATGCAAAATCTAGTTGTGTAATTATGTACATGTATGCTTGTTCTCTACCTTCTGAAAGAGAATTTATTGTTGATATAACTGGAGATTAATAGGATATTATTGATTTCTTTCTCATGTTTGCTATTTTGTCATGTTTTGAGGGTTATCATTGGTTTGAATGTTGGATAAGCAAAGTCATCTTGAATTTGAGTTTTCAGTTGTGAATTTTTCGATTATTTTCCTTTTTGATGATAAACTTTTTTTTCGTGAATCTTGTTATTTATTTTTTTGGAAAATAAGCTCTGATTAGTTTAAATTCAAATTTGAATGAGGTGATTATGAGGATCTTGGTAATTTTTTTTGCTATATTTGTCTCAAATTACATTAAATTCTTCAAATCTCAAATTAGGTCTTTTGTAAATCTGTTCACAGAAGCTTTTGAACACAATTTGGATTGTTTACCTGTGTAAGTGCTAATGTCGACATCCCACTTTTAAGTTACTGGGTATGATGAATTCTCAGGTTATGCTTTGATTCAACTTGTCAAATTTATGAGTCTGGTGACCGAGTCTGCTGCAGCAGTGTTAAAAGAAGGCATTGTGCATAAGGAATTACTTCAATTATATGGAAAGGTGCGTGTTGGGGTTTTTCCCGAGGTGCTTATGTGGTAATAGTCTATTTCCTGTATATTGAGGTGACATTTGAATAAGATGGCACGGGGAAGGATAAGGGCAAAGCTCCGGAGGAGCAGTCTATACACATTTGGATGTTACCGGCCGCATCTTGACGAGGCAGAGGAGCCACATCTATTCCAAGGCCCTGGATATTCGCGAACGGTTTACTGCAACCAGCCTCATCTCCACCAAACGAAACCTCTTAAGTACAGCTCAAATTATATATCAACCACAAAGTACAATGTCATTACATTCCTGCCCAAGGCCATCTTTGAACAATTTCGTCGTGTTGCCAATGTGTACTTCCTTCTAGCTGCTATTCTCTCATTCTCCCCCATTGCACCGTTCTCAGCTATCAGTATGGTTGCTCCTCTGGCCCTTGTGCTTGGGATCAGTATGGCAAAGGAAGCTTTGGAAGATTGGCGCAGATTTGTGCAGGATATGAAGGTAAATCTGAGTAAGACTAGTGTTCTTAAAAAGGATGGTCTGTTTGGTTATAAGCCGTGGATGAAGATTCGGGTTGGAGACGTGGTGAAAGTGGTAAAGGATCAATTCTTTCCTGCAGATTTGCTTCTTTTGTCGTCTAGTTATGAGGATGGGATATGTTATGTGGAGACTATGAACTTAGATGGAGAGACAAACCTGAAGGTAAAAAGAGCTTTGGAGGTAACTTTGCCCTTGGATGACGATGTAGCTTTTAAGGATTTCACTGGAACGATCAGATGTGAAGACCCCAATCCTAACCTCTACACTTTTGTAGGTAATCTTGAATATGATCGTCAGGTTTATCCTCTCGATCCTGGTCAGATTCTCCTTAGAGATTCAAAGCTTAGGAATACAGGTTATGTGTATGGAGTGGTTATATTCACGGGCCAAGATAGCAAAGTCATGCAAAATGCTACAAAGTCTCCTTCAAAAAGGAGCAGGATTGAAAAACAGATGGACAGAATCATTTACATCCTTTTCAGCCTCCTTGTGTTGATTTCATTGATCAGCTCAATAGGATTTACTGTTAAGACAAAATACCAGATGCCAGACTGGTGGTACTTGCAAGCCCCGGATGACCAAAATCTCTACAACCCGTACAAGCCAACCTTGTCGGCCATTTATCATCTGGTCACTGCTCTTATCCTTTATGGATATTTAATACCCATCTCACTCTATGTTTCAATTGAGGCCGTAAAATTCCTGCAAGCATTGTTCATTAACCAGGACATACACATGTATGATGAAGAGAGTGGAACTCCTGCTCAAGCTCGGACGTCCAATTTAAACGAGGAATTAGGCCAGATTAGCACAATCCTCTCTGATAAAACTGGCACTTTGACATGCAACCAAATGGACTTCCTCAAGTGCTCCATTGCTGGCACTGCATATGGCAAGCGTGCCAGTGATGTAGAACTTGCTGCTGCAAAGCAGATGGCTATGGACCTTGATGGGCAGGAACCACAGACGTCAAACAACCCCATCCCTAGCAATGGTGGACATGTTTTACAGGAGAATGGTGGACATGGATTTGGGGTGTCAGAAATTGAACTGGAGACTGTCGTTACTTCTAGAGATGAAAAGGACCATAGACCTGTGATAAAGGGCTTTAGCTTTGAAGATAGCCGCCTCATGAATGGAAATTGGTCAAAAGAGCCCAATGCGGACATCATTTTGCTATTTTTCCGGATAATTGCACTTTGCCACACTGCAATTCCTGAGGTCAATGAAGAGACAGGCAGCTTTAACTATGAAGCAGAGTCACCAGATGAAGGAGCTTTTCTTGTTGCAGCAAGAGAGTTTGGCTTTGAGTTTTGTAAAAGAACTCAATCAAGCATATTTATTCGAGAGAGAGGTCCTTCTTTTCAAGAGTCTATTGAAAGGTCAGGCCATAAATAAGTAGTTTGCTTCATTTTTGTGGTTTTCATTTATCTGGATTGAATGCAGGTGTCTTGGTATCTTACGTGTTTCTGGAAATTTACAGGAAGTTCAAAATTCTTAATCTTTTGGATTTCACTAGCAAAAGGAAGCGAATGTCTGTTATTGTCCGGGATGAGTATGGACAGATTCTCCTCCTGTGCAAAGGAGCTGACAGGTCTGGGTCGACATTTTTTTTTTCTTTCTAATCTTTGGTTTGTTTTGGAGGCATGCCAAGATATTATAACTTGCATGAAAACTTCAGTTAGCTTCCCAACAAGTTCATGGGAGAGGGTGAACTTTTATCTCTTGATCTTTCATGAAGTTTGATTGTTGTAGTAATCAGGCATAGAGTGGGGAAATTAGGGAAGCATTTAATCTTTGTGAATTGCTGTTGCCTCTTATTGCTGATCTCTTTTTTCTGGACTGTCTTAAGCTGTTTTGGAATCTGATGAATTGTTCATTTGCTTTCATTATACAGCATCATTTTTGACCGGTTATCTAAAAGTGGAAGAATGTTTGAGGAAGCTACCACAAAGCATCTGAATGAGTATGGGGAAGTTGGGTTGCGTACACTGGCACTTGCTTACAGGAAGCTTGAAGAGGCTGAGTATTCTGCTTGGAACGAAGAGTTCCATAAAGCAAAAACTTCCATTAGTGCTGATAGGGAAGCAATGCTGGAACGAGTATCTGATCTGATGGAAAGGGATTTGATGCTTGTGGGTGCAACTGCTGTGGAGGACAAACTGCAAAAGGGGGTACGTGCTGTCATTGGTATGGAATGGTAATTTACAAATTGTATTTTTGGACCTTTTCAGCTCAGCTACTATATTTTTCCTCTGTAGGTGCCTCAGTGCATAGATAAACTGGCACAAGCTGGTCTCAAGATTTGGGTTCTGACAGGTGATAAGATGGAAACTGCAATTAACATAGGGTCTGCCTCTCACTAACTCTAAAGATGATTCTGACTTATTGATAGTTACCTGTCATCTAAGGATGCTCCAGTAGAAGAAATAAAAATTCTTTATTTGATGCAGTTATGCATGTAGTCTGCTCCGACAGGGCATGAAGCAGATCTGTATAACAACAATGAATTCAGACATGTTAGGCCAAGATTCCAAAGAGGTAGTAATTTTTAGAGAGAGTATGTAAATGTTTTTCGGGAAATTATTTCAATTGGTGTTTAGGCTTTTTTGCTGTTTGTTGCTGATCAGGCTGTGAAGGAGAACATTTTGATGCAAATCACCAATGCCTCACAAATGGTCAAGCTCGAAAAGGATCCTCATGCTGCATTTGCCATAATTATTGATGGGAAGACTCTCACTTATGCTTTAGAGGATGACATGAAGAATCAATTCTTGAAATTAGCAGTGGATTGTGCATCCGTCATATGTTGTCGTGTGTCTCCTATGCAAAAAGCCTTGGTAAGTTCCATTTTTTCATCCTCCATCCCCTTGTATACACTAATGGGCGTATAGTCCAAAGACTTCATTTTCTGCTGTTCAATTTGTTAAGGTAGTGATAAACGTATTTGTATGGTACTTATATTTTTCTTCCTCGTGTCTATTTTTATTTCTTCTATTTTGTAAATTATATTGGGCCTCTAGATTACAAGATTGGTTAAAGAAGGAACTGGGAAGACCACCTTAGCTATCGGTGATGGTGCAAATGATGTTGGTATGATTCAAGAAGCAGACATTGGTGTTGGCATCAGTGGGGCAGAAGGAATGCAGGTTGGTAATATATCTGACAGTCTCCTCTTTTTTCATGACAAGGCTGTGAAGGTGTTCGGATAATTGTTCAGAATTCTATCATCTTTGCACTGTTGGAATATCTTTATGTTACAAAAATGTGCATATAGAATCTTTAGATAAATACTAAATGACCCAACTATAAGTATGTATGAGCTTCCCTAACAATGGTACACAATTCCGATATCCTTAAAAATGTTGCGCATGAGTTGAGAGGTTCTCTGTCAAGTACAAGGGTTCGAATTCCTTGTTCCAAAGATTGCATGAACTTTCCTAACACAAATGTGTCTCCGAGCTTGTTGTTTCTGGAAGGATAAAGGTTCTATCTGTGGCTGTGCTTATCATTATCTGCACCGCTGTTCTCTAATACTTTATCCACATTCTTTTCATTCTGGAAATGGAACCAAGAAAACTAGTGTGATCTCTGTTATCTTTGCTGGCAAGTTTCCACTGGCCTTCAAGTTTTAACAGATAAAAGAAGCAATCTCATACCTGAGTGGATTAATTGTCCTTTTTTATGCATACATTCTGCACTGCCCTTGTGTTATTGGGATAGAACCTACATAACACTATCACTATTGTGTCGGGTATGGCATTAGCAATCCCATCGCACTCCGCAATATATGACTCCAAATCCAACTAAAAAATCTAGCGACATATTACTACACCAGTTTCAATGCCAAGCTAATTTTATAAAATACATTTAGTTGAATGATAAAAATTGATAATAGGGTTTATGAGAGAAAGAAGAATTGAGGGAGAGAGATTGAGAAAAGTAATCAGTTGTGTATGGGCTAGGTTACGCTACACTCTTATTTATAATTGTGTAGTATAAATACAATCTTACCCTACACTAATTAATCTATGTAGTATAATTACAATCTTACCCTACACTAATTAATCTATGTCTAATTTAGAAAAATAAGGACTCTAACACTCCTCCTCAAGCTGGAGTATAAAGGTCAAAAATGCCTACCTTGGAACATAAGCTATTGAAGACAAATCGAGCCAAACGCTTGGTAAGAATATCACTCAGCTGGTCACCGGACTTGATATATGGAGGGATGATCTCTTTTTGCATCAAGAAATCTAGAATGAAATGGCAATCGGCCTCAATATCTTTGGTATGCTCATGAAATACCGACATACTTGCAATAAAAATAGTTTTTTGTCATAATGCATCTTCATAGGGGACGATACATCAAGCCCATATCACGAAGTAAAGAATGGACCCATAACATCTCATAGGTAGTATGTGCCATAGTACGATATTCAATCTCTACACTAGAATGTGTAACCACATTCTGCTTCTTACTTCGCAAAGTAACAAGTTTACCACCTACATATGTAAAATAGTCATAAGTAGATTGTCTATCACCATGACTACCAACCCAGTTAGTATCAAAAAAATTAACAGTAGATATGAATGATGATAGACAATATAATAATTCTTTTCCTATAACCCTTTCAGATATCGAAGTATTCGATATGCTCTCAATGAGACTTATGTGGGGCATGCGTAAATCGACTAACCACACCAACATCATCTGTAATATTAAGGTGTGTAACTATAAGATAAATCAACTTACCAACCAATCTCCGATAACACTTGCATCTTCAAAGACTTCACAACACTCAAGATCTAACTTAACCCTAGGGTCCATAGGTGTATCTATTGGACGTGCCCTAAGAGTAATAGTTTCAGATAGTAAGTTTACTATGTAATTTCATTGACACAAACAGATACCCTCCTTTGATCGGGTAATCTCAATCTCTAGGAAGTACTAAATAAGACCTAAGTCTACGATATGAAATTGCTTTCCCAAATAGGCCTTGAAGCAGGCAATACCATTTGAGGCATTACCGCTGATAATGATGTCATTGACATACATAATAACAATAATAATGCCTATAGAAGAATGACGAGTGAAAACTGAATGGTTTGAGGTGGAGTGCTAAAAACCAAATTGAAGTACCACAGTACTAAGCTTATCAAACCAAACACGTGGTGACTGTTTCAAGCTATACAATGCTTTCTCAAATGACACACTAACTTTTCTTGGCTTGTAGATCTCTATGTAAGAAGACATTCTTTATGACCAATTGATACAAGGGTTAGTTAGAACTGACTGCAACAGAATTAAGGACTCTAATAGAGTTTAGACGGGCAACAGGAGATAAAATCTCATAGGAATCCACACCATATGTCTGGGTGTAACATTTGACAACCAGATGAGCCTTCAAACATTTAACTTAACCGTTAGGATGATTTACTGTGTAGACCCAACGACAACTGACAGGTTATTTATCAAAGAAAGTGTAGTAAGGTCCCATGTTTGATTCTCATTAAAGGATTTCATTTTCTTATCCATAACTAGTTTCTAACCAGGAGATGTCAATGCCTGTTTGAAAGAACTAGGAACAAATATCGAAGGCACAGTCGATGCTAAACAACAAAAGGATTGTGAAAACTGATTTAAAGAAATAAAATTAGAAATGAGATGCTTTGTACAGTTATTGGTACTTTTCCTCAATGCAATAGGCAAATTAAAAGATGATGAACTAGCAGACGGCTTAGAGGGCAAGACCTTAGTAGAATTAAGTGATGGCTGTGAAGGTGGAGCATATGGAACAATCTGTCCATCCTTGGAGCGATGATAACCTGCAAGGGAGGAATAGGGATCGAGAAGGAAAAAGATACACAATCTGGTACAATAGACAACAAGAGCTCTCCAGGTATGGCATTAGCAATCCCATTGCACTTTGCATTACACAGTTGAACATATATGATTCCAAATCCAACAAAAAAATCTAGCAACATATTACAAAACCAATTTCAATGTCAAGCTAATTTATAAAATATATTTAGTTGAATGAGAAAAATCGATATTAGGATTTATGAGAGAAAGAAGAATGGAGGAAGAGTGAGAGATTGAGAAAAGTTATCAGTTGTGTATGGGTGAGGTTGCCCTACACTCTCTTATTTATAACTGAGTAGGATAATTGCAATCTTACCCTATACTAATTAATCTATGTCTAATATAGAAACATAAGGACTCTTTAACACATTTAAAGCCATAATAAGTTGTATCCAAATGTCAGAGGAGATGGAGGATACGAGAGTCAGACATCAATTGTTGTTAATGGAATATATTGCAATAAGGAATAAATATGGAGATTTGATCTTAGGAATATGTTTGTGCTATCTTTCTCAAGGTTTGACTAATTTAGCAGTAGTGAGAATGGTGACCGAGGTACTTAGAACCATTGTAGTTGTGACTACCAAGAAAGAAAGGAAGGGCCACGAGAGAAAGGTAGGATTATTTATTCTCAAACATTGAGGGACTGTTCTTTCCAACTTGTTGATTTTTAATGAGAGATTAGCGGAGTTTTTACTTGGCATTTTGAAGAATAAATTAGTTTTTAATTAAATGTTTATAAGTGTAATTTCACTTGACATACATGGCATAGCGTCAATTCGAAGTGCTAGTGTCTACAAGAAATGTATTAGATCAAATAACTTGATGAGCTTGTGTACAATTGAAGGTAAGCTATTTTCATGCATAGTTCGAGGTGTGGGATTTGTAGTATTAGTCTATCCAATCTAGTAAGACCGAGAACAGAGGACATTTGCTGTCTTAAGTTTCAGAAATGGGGCTGTCAGTGGGTCTGCTTAAAATAGGTTTCTGACCTCAATTTCATCAGATTGAAATCTTAGTTTCAAGTATGAGCTTATTTAGATGTGTTAATTCAAATAAAAGTTCAACATAAAATTTTGGCTGTGATCCAATTAAATGAATACCAATAAACTAATTTAGTTAAGATTAAAGTCCTATTAAAGTATCGTAATTAGGGAAAATACTTTGCATCCCAAATTTGGATCCCATCTGTGAATAGAAACCCTTGGATGAGTGGGTTCCATTGAAAAAAATTAATGGAGTCAATGATCCAAGGGTAGGAATACAATTTGGGATCCTTAGCATTGCTCAATTATTAGTATTTATATATTTCCTATGTATTTTTATGAGCATTCTAAGACTTCCTATAATGCTCTATTAATTTACATAATGTAATGTTTTTCATTTTTGACAAGTAATTAGTTTATAGTGTATCTTTTTTTTTTCAAAAGAAGGTTACCTAAATGTTCTTGTTAAATAATGTTGAACTTCAAGGTTGAAAGTTTTTAGGGCTATTTTGCACTTTACCAGTTTTCCTCTATAATTCTGTGTAATTTAACGTCATATTTGATTCCACGCACAACGGTTGGGGTAGTAATTTATCTGGTATGCGTTGGATAGAGGGTTGGCACCAACTTTATTTCTATGTTTTAAGGCAAGTGGATCGGAATGTTGTGTCTGACTAACCTGGATCTCAGACCGCAATTTTGTGTCGGGACCTACTTGTCAACAATTGGAAAAACATTTTCACCCTTGAATTGTGCAAACCACCTTGTTAATTTGCAGTTGTGACCTTTTCGTCTTTTTGTATTTTTCTTTGTATTGCTTTTTCTTTGGATGGTGGGTACCCAGTGATAGGTTATTTGAATCATTCTGCCAGCTGCTCTGATCGGTCAACTTTTGTCAGCTGAACCCATTGTATCACAAAAAAGTATTCCCAACTGAAATCCTCCAATTGTATGAATAGTGATTGCCGTGATGAAAGACATATTAGAGTACAGTGCCAAGCTTTGGTGTCATTTACCTTTCCATCCTTTTTTTTTTTTTCACAACCAAATTGCTCCTTTATGAGGCATTACGTGTAAGTCTGTAACTTATCCGACTGTGTTCAGGGTAACTTAATTTATGTGTATTTATGTCTTCTAAGGCTTTAGAAGTCTAGGAAAAATGAATTACCTTTTCATAAGCATGTGGTGCTGCTGGACCTGGGATCAGCCTTACGAAATTCCCCTTTTTTTGCAGGCTGTGATGGCTAGTGACTTTGCCATTGCACAGTTCCGTTTTCTGGAGAGACTTGTTGTTGTCCACGGACATTGGTGCTATAAGAGAATTGCTCAGATGGTAAGAATTATATAGTCTACATTGGTAAATTGCGTTAATATTTTGGGCAAATTATGAATCACCTGCTTATGGTTTGCTCCATTACTCTGTACCTCCTTATATTTTAAGAACCTAAACATAACCCCGAGTCATTTTTGGACTAAAATGAAACCATGAGTTTTCAATCCAAATTTAGCCGAAATGTGTAAAAAAGGCTCGTTTATCCTTGCACCATCCAAACCTCCCGTATTCAATTCTTGGAGTAAATTAACCTTTACTCCTTATTAAAAAACTTATACCAACAATCAGACAATCTCCTCGTACTTCTCTTTTATGCTCACGGATACATACCGAAAATTTATACATAAAACTGTCTTCTCTGGGTAAGTTTTGAGACTAAAATTGCTCTGTATTTATTTATAGTTCTTCTGAACCAAGGATTTTTTTTGATAATTATGCAAATAGGTGTGTTGAGGCTCAGAAAGTGCAGTGTTGAATGCAAGCTATAATTATCATCATGGCATCAATACTATTGCTTTGTTACGCCTTATATCTTCACCACAATGTTTCTTTCTCTTATGCTTTTTCTATCTACTCCTCTTCTTCAAACTTTTTCCAATTCCAAAAGCTCCCGACTCCATCATTTCCTTTTTTACATTCTATGCATTTCTATTTTTTCTCTAACAGTACCCTTCTGTCCAAAGCTACCAGTGTAGTAGTATTAGCATTAGCCTCAAAGTTGGTTGCTGAGTAAAAGCTTTTTGCGTTTGTTACTTGAAATTGTTGGGAAGTGAAAAGGCTAAGGAAATTAATTGAAATTGCAATACTTTGTTCTTCTTTTCTTCCGTGTGATTTCCACAACGAAAGAAACCAAGTTGTTGCCGAATGTTTTAGATTTGGATAAGTAACTAGCAATGGTGGATGTGGGGAAGGATTTGCTCATCATTCAAAGTATTGGTCGATGCCGACATGACCTAGTGTAGCCATAGGATGGTTGAACCAGCGTGATCAAATCTGGAATTTTAGGCAAATGGCTAAGAGTTTTTGGTCCAAAGAGAAATGTACTTGGTATATTTGTTAAAAATTTTATTTGTTATTTTTATTATTAATTATTTGAATTTTTAGTTAGATAATATTTATCATATTGAGATTAGTAAGGATAAGTTGATAGAGTTTTGGTAGTGAAGTAGTTTCTCTATAGTAAGACACTTGGTCTATAAATAAGGATGTATTCCACATTATTTTAATCAGGAGTATGAATATGAATTTGAAAATTCTTTACGGAGATTTGTGTTTCTTGATCTAATCATTGGGAGGATTAGTTATCCGTTTCTTTACCTTCCTTCTCTGCATCAATTGGTATCGGAGCAAAACTCCAATCCATCATCTTTGCTACTTTTCTCCTAGTCTCTACTGCTATAACTCGTTACTTTGTGCCAGCTAATTATAAAAAATGAGCTCATCTACAGTTTACACAATTGAATTAGGGAAGCATGCCTGTTGAGGATTACATAGGAAATTTCTACAGCTTAGTCACCCAATTTGAGTTCTCATGGACTGAGGATGTAATGATTGCCATGTATAGGTAAGGGCTCAATTCAGAGATTTCTTCATGGTTAGGTGCAAGTCGTCTTTGTGATGCAGTTTAGATTGCCTATCAAAATGGAAGGGGATTTGAAAAAGAGGGCTTCTCTTAGGTCTTCTAGGGTATCTACAACTCAAAGTAAAAAGGAATGCTTTTCTCCCTAATAAACCACCTCGCCTTGGTATTACTTCTAATTTTCAAGGGGGTACTTATCCTAATGTCAAAACGAGATGTTTTAATTGTCAAGGGTTTGGTCATTTGTCTTTCCAATGCCTACAAAGGTTGTTGTGACAATTGAAAAGGAAATCCCTAAGGAGGCTAAAAAATCTAATGCATCAGATTCTGATATTCAAATTGTGGAGCCTCTTGATGTTCTATTTTGGGTGCTATTCGTCCTCTATCTATTTGAAGTAAGGTTACCACTTAGATTTCTCGAACTATTTTGTCAGATGGTATTCTTTGCTCTCCTTACTCGCCAGAGTCGAGCTTCTTTTAGGGTGGGAGAATCGATGGATGGTTGGACCAACGTGATCAAATCTCGAAGCCTTAGGGGAATGGCCAAGAATTTTTTGTTCAAAGGGAAATGTACTTGATAGATTTGTTAGGATTTTTATTTGTTATTTTATAATAGAATATATCAGTTTGAGATTGGTAAAGATCAGTTTATAGAGTTTTAGTATGAGAGTAGTTCCTCAATTGTAGTTGACTCGGACGCTTCTTGATTGGCTCTGCCGAGTCATCAATCCGCTACACCACAATACTGTTGAGCGATAATTTGGTATGGCCTGAATCCCTCATTTCCAATTTCCATCTAGCATTTCGTTTGCATTGCGCGATATTGTTCTTTGACGTTATGGCCGATACATCTTAGTGCCTTTTGAATCGATGGCCGTGACTACGATCTTGAACCATGGCGCTTTGTGGGCAGAGGATGAAGGGCGAGACTGCTGGTAGGCTAGGGGGAGTAGATACAGGAGTGTTATTGTTTTTGTTTGAAAAGGTATTTTTTTGGCAGGGAAGCAATTTAAAAGTCATTTTAGGCACTTACATCTATTGATTGTCAATTTGAACTGAAATCATAGTGTTTTCTTTCACTTTGGTCCAAAAATAAAAGGGGTTATGTATAGAAATCTCGAAAATTTTAGACAAGAACCAAATCAGAGGGAGGTAATCCATAATTTTCCCTAATGTTTTTTTACATATCTAACATGTCAAAAGAGAGAATATTGATGATTTTGGCATATTGGCACTTGTGCTCTGTTTTTCTTCACGCAGTTGTAATTCGTACTTTATTCATTCTCATTTATGCTGCAATGCTCTGCATCCAGATTTGCTATTTCTTCTACAAGAATATAGCTTTTGGCCTGACAATCTTCTACTTTGAGGCATTTACTGGTTTTTCTGGGCAATCGGTTTATGATGATTGGTACATGTTGCTGTTCAATGTTCTTCTTACCTCACTTCCTGTCATTTCACTTGGTGTTTTTGAGCAAGACGTTTCTTCTGAGATTTGCCTACAGGTTAGTCTTTTAATGACATCTTTGTCTGCACCTTTCATCTATTTCCACTTATAGATCAATGTTTATACACTTACACAAAACCCCTTCACTCTGCAGTTTCCAGCATTGTATCAGCAAGGACCCAGAAACTTGTTCTTTGACTGGTATAGGATTTTTGGGTGGATGGGAAACGGTCTTTATTCCTCTCTCATTATTTTTTTCTTTAGCATTATCATCTTTTATGACCAAGCCTTCCGTGTCGGAGGCCAGACTGCTGACATGACTGCTGTGGGCACCGCTATGTTCACTTGCATCATCTGGGCTGTCAACGGCCAAATTGCTCTCACAATGAGTCATTTCACATTCATACAACACTTCTTTGTCTGGGGCAGCATTGCTTCTTGGTATCTATTTCTTTTCCTTTATGGCATGCTGTCACCAAAATATTCTGGTAACGCCTTTCAAATCCTCGTAGAAGCTCTAGCTCCTGCCCCAATTTACTGGTCAACCACCCTCTTAATAACAGTGGTCTGTAATCTCCCTTACCTTGCTCACATATCTTTCCAAAGATCTTTCAACCCAATGGATCATCATGTTATTCAAGAAATCAAATACTACAAAAAAGACATTAAGGATCGACATATGTGGAGAAGAGAGCGGTCCAAAGCAAGACAGGAGACCAAGATTGGGTTTACAGCAAGAGTAGATGCAAAGATTAGGCAGTTGAGAGCAAGGCTGCAGAAGAAGCATTCACAGATGAGTCCACATAGTGTAATGCCCCAAATATAATTATAACCCATATTGTTTTTTTAATTATTTGGTTCTTCTGTAACATAGGGTTTTTGGCCATTTGCAATTTCATTCTGTGGTGTTTTTATAATCCATCTTGTAATTTTTGTCTAGTATAGTGGGGTTCTTTGAAGTCGATGGTTACACCAGAGCACTGAGGCTGTTGAATGTACAATATTTATAGGATTTTGGTACAGCTTGTGGAAATTGTTGATATCTATTTGCTTTCCTCGATTGCATTTCCCATATCAATGGACATGATCATGGTTTGAGACTTATGCATTATCATCACATCCAAACACCACTTCTAGGGAGACATAAGACTCAACTTTGTTGTTCAACATCTTAGTTAGAAAACCCTTTCACACTGCATTTACTTCTAATTTAAACATCATTTTGCCAAAGCAGAAGACGCAAAAGTGCAAAGTTTACGGTATATATTTTTCCATTTCTTGATTTCTAGGAATTTCCTTGCAGTTTACAAGCACCCACTTGAAATTTAAGCTTTCTCCTTGTTAATACATACCCACAAAAAAGCACACTTCATTGCTTCCGTAGATGCTTCTTTTAATGGATTCCCCGGACTCGGCCGGTATATAACACCATATACATATAAAGCATATTCCTTCAATATTTTTAATTTTAAAATTCTTAGAGTACTGATATGTGCACTAAATTTTTACACCGAATGATGTAAGTTTGTGGGTTCCAATGAGACATACAACACATTCAATGAATGTGCTTTTGCCACATCATTTGGTATAAGGAATTTGGTGAACATAATATTACTCTAGACTAGTCTTTCCGTGCACCAATTAATCGTGGGTTTTTAGAAATTTCCATCCAGAAAAAGGAGAAGAGATAATTGTTAATCCCACTTTTACTGTTTTACTCTAGACTATATTTCATGGGAATGGCCTAAAGTTGTAAAAATTTAGGGAAAACTTCATCGAAACCCTCGGTAGAATAAGTTACATTTAAGAACATCTTTGAAATTTCACTGCACTCTCTTTTAATTAATATGTTTATTTCATTCACACCCCCTCTTGTTAACAGAAGTTATTGACAAACGAAAAAGAGATGATTTCATATCAAATTCTTTATAAATTATCAATTCTACCCTTCATTTCTAGGTAGAGCAATGTACAATTTTACCACATCTGTCCAACTATGTGTGTGTGACTATGTACAGTTAGCTTATATATTATGGAATATATCTAGTTAGTAACATATAAACTTACAATAGTACAGTGTCTATAGCAATATATATATATATCCATTTTACAGTAATATATCCCAAGGATGGAACTAGGATTTTTACTCTTGTGGGCGTGGGTCAAGTCCCATGTATAAAAATTCTGGCCAATATCGTATATTATATTTTTGACTTTTTAATACACAAAATTCTATCATTGGTGAAAAACATTCATTATAAACAAAGATATTGAAAAAAAAATGAACAAAAGAATAATTTTTTTAATACATATCTACTTAATCATTTATCAAAATTGGTATTCGACATTTTCTATAGTACGAATTTTTTGAAATTGAATTCGTATTAGACTTTTTGTAGGGCTAATTTTACTTTGGACCTTAAAAGATACTTTAATTCTCAATTTATGCCTTTAAAGAATTGAATTCTCAAATTACACCCTCAATTTTATAAAACAGATGCAATAGCATACATGAACTAAAAGCTCGCATACATGCGAAGATTTGTCTCAACCACTCCATATGCCCAAACTCAGGAAACAAGCTCTAAACATCTCTGTATGATTAAGTCCATTGAAGCGATCTTATCCCTATTTCAAAAGACAAGAAATGTTCTTCACGAAATAAGGAGATATACACAGCAGAATAAATTGGTCCTTTTCAAAAAAAAAAAAAAAGGTCATTTTCCGCACAAATACTATAATCTTCAACTTCCACACTCTTACATAGTGTTGATTATCATGAGTTGCGTAACTGGATCTGCTATTTCAATTCTCTAAATGGAATACCTCTAGATCCTATAAAACCCAACCAACTCATGCGAGTCCACACTAGTTTGTAGTCTAATATAGGAAAAAGTTCATGAACATAAAAGGAGAGGTCTCAAAGCCACTAGCAATGGCGCGCAAATTTTCCACCTCTTATTTATAGATGACATCCTCCTTTTCTCTAGAGTCTCACAAAATAATTGCGGTATGACGAAGTTAGTTTCAAAAACTTTCTATGACATTTTTGGTCAAAAAATAAGTTTAGCCAAAGACTATAACAGAGACGAGCTGTAAGCTCTGCTGTCATGACTTTGAATTTTGACAACTCTTTGAGAATTAGGTTATGCAAAATTTATCTCTCATGAATATTTTATTGCCCACCTGGATGACCTACCTTTGATCGAACTAAGAAAAGAATTAGTCAAAATACGCATAAGCTGACTCGGGCACCTTTGACAGTTGAAAAAAATAAGGACAAGGATTTTGGTATCACCCCCATAGCAGTAAACATTAACCTCACAAAAAACCTTGAAAAGTACATAGGAATTCCCTCTTGTACAAGAGAAAATTCAAGATCATTTTGACTATACAAGGGAGACTTCCTGGTTGGAAGTCAAAAACACTGTCAATGGCCTGGTGGAGCCCCTGTTGTGTAATTTATTTAATAAATCAATGAAATGGTGGGAAAAAAACTTTTGCACAATTAATTTCTTAAAATACAGACCCAAAAATTATGATTTGTCATAAAATCACAATTTATGAAATATAAGTAAAGGAACGATCTCACCAAACTATAGATCAAGCCAAAACTTTGTCCTTAAAGGTTGATTCGCACCTCTCGAAGTCGATGACTCGGTGTGATAGATTCTTGGCACAACAACCTCCCAGGATTTCTATAGCTTCACCTCCACCAACACACTTGTTGTGAAGAGTGTTTAATAACCCTTTTGATATTTTTTGTGGAAGCAACAAAATTTTCTAAAGAGACTGTGATATTTGAAGCAATGAAAGAGAGATGAGAAGTAAAAATTGCAAAAGAACACAAGAGGGAGCTGAAGTCTATTGCCCGGAAAAAACCAGACCAAAAAAGGAGAAAAATGAAGCTTACTTTGTAAGCTACTTTGACGGTAAAAAAAAACCAAAAGAAGTGGGTAGGCTTGCAAAGATAAAAACTAAGTCAATGGGCTTAGAAATAATAAAAGAGTGTGGGTCCAATCAACTAAATGTTTTGAGACACAATGAACTAAGCCCAACAATCCCCCACATGTTTCAAAACATTCAAATGAGATAAAAAGAAGAACACGAGAAAGTATGCATCGATAAGGTACCACATAGGCTTTAACTTTACCTTGAATAAGTGAGCAACCCACATAAATAATGGTAGAGTTAGACTCCTTTAATCGTATCCCATAATATGAATTAACCAACTTACCATTCACATACCTTCCACTAATTAGAGTTGTTCTCATATGCGGGTTGACGCCATAAATACCGGCCATGCACCTGTTCTGGGTTTTCATGTGTGTTTTAGCGACTTGCCCATGTCATATAGAAGGCAGCTCCACCTTCACACACATATAGGTAACATCCATCAAGAGTGTGCTGCAGTTGAACACTCCATCCCAATAATTAAGGACTATGGATCTATTAAGAGCAACAACTTAACCTTCTCACTGCAGTGACACTATCATGACACCATAGGAATGAATCTTCACATTTGGCCTCAAAGCCTAAGTAGGATAGCAATAAGTGACAATGCCCCTTTGAGATTGTTTGTGACTTCTTTTCCCATTTAACTCATATGTGGAATCACCATTATAGCGGTTGGGTATCAATCACATAGTCTCTGAAATAGGCAACAATCCTATCCCCCTCGATGTCTTGTGATTAGTGCTTAAAGTTAGCATTTTTCTATGCCTTTTTGGGACTAATTGTGCTTTGATGGAATTTAAGTGATAACATTTCAGGACCTAAAGTGAACAAAAGCTCAAGAACAACAAATATTACACTTGAGTGTGATACCAGTGCATTATGGAACAAAATTGGAGAAGGTTGGGACAAAGTAACCACGTTCGAGCGTCAATTCACGTTCTGACGTCCACTTGAACTATGAGGAGACCAGATTGCTAAGACCTGGCGTGTTGTAGTCAAGAAGGAAGACTTTGAAGTACTGGAGTACCATGTTTGAATGCCAACTACCATTCAAACGTCCACATGACTTGAAGACAGATCAGAGTGATGAGTGCAAAACTCCAAGCCCTACATGGAGTATGGAAGTGGGTTTTCACAGAAGACCAAGACCACTTGAGTGATGTGGTCACATTCCATATGGCGTTTGAATGCCCCTAAAGCAAAACCAGAAGACACGTTCGAACGTCAGACAACGTTCGAACGCCCTTAAAGCAAAACAGAAGACAACGTTTGAACGTCCTCCACAGACTGCTTGCAGAGTAGTTGATTTTCATGAGCGACATACACTATTCACTTATCCTTTCTTATCTTCTTGTTTCCCCCTTCCCCTTCTTTACCTATAAATACTTCCATGTTGGGAGCTTGAAAATGTGCAATTTTTTCTCTTGTAAAATTAGGAAGCCAGAGCTTGATTTTTAGGCTTAGACCACATCACCACATCAAGAACTAGTAAAGAGCTTGGAAGTTTGATGCTTGTAGTACCAATAGCATTAATGGACGAAAAAAGAGACAGAACCAATGATATGATAAGTGGCACCGCTATCAATTATCCAAATGTCATTATTTGAAGAAGAAAGACTTAAAAGATATACCTGAGAGGTTAGCAGTAGACTGACTGCTACCTACTTGATGTATCATGGCTTGAGGCTTAAAAAGAGCAAGGAATTGTTGACTCTGATCTGGTGCGAAAGGGAAATCATTTGAAGCATTTTGGATGTTGATCTTCTCAGGAATATTCTTTTGCTGGACAGCTTGATTAATAGCAGATGGGGGATTGACTTTGTACAGTCGTGGCCAGGATGATAACCATGGAGTTTATAGCATTTATCCACTATGTGACCTACCCAACCACAATGGGTGCAGGAGGGACGCTCACGCTTAGAGCCCTTGCCGTTTCTCATATTATTGTGAGACCCTTCTCCTTGGTTGATAAAATAGCCATTGGACGGCACCAGCAACGCAGTGGTTTCAATATTTTGTTGATTTGATGCAACGACATTCCTTTGTCTTTCTTATTGTAAAACAAGAGAAAATGCACGGTTCACAGGGGGAAGGGGATCCATGAGTAGGATTTGTCCACGAATTGCAGCATATAAATCATTAA